GACGTGAAAACTGCATTTCTTCATGGAGATTTGGAAGAGGAGATCTATATGGAGCAGCCAGAAAGATTTGAAGTAGCTGAAAGGAAACACATGGTGTGAAAACTGAATAAGAGTCTTTATGGGTTGAAGCAGGCACTAAGGCAGTGGTACAAGAAGTTTGACTCATTCATGAAAAGTCAAACTTACACAAAGACATATTCTGATCCATGTGTATACTTCAAAAGATTTTCTGAAAATATCTTTATTATATTGTTGTTGTATGTGGATGACATGTTAATTGTAGGAAAAGACAAGGGGCTGATCGCAAAGTTGAAGGGAGATTTGTCCAAGTCTTTTGATATGAAGGACTTGGGCTCAGCACAACAAATTCTGGGTATGAATATAGTACGAGAGCGAACAAGCAGAAAGTTGTGGCTGTCTCAGGAAAAGTACATTGAACGAGTACTGGAACGCTTCAACATGAAGAATGCTAAGACAGTCAGCACACCTCTTGCTAGTCATCTAAAGTTGAGCAAGAAGATGTGTCCTACAAGTGTGGAGGAGAAAGGGAACATGGCTAGAGTTCCTTATTCTTCAGCAGTCGGAAGCTTGATGTATGCAATGGTATGCACCAGACCTGATATTGCTCATGCAGTTGGTGTTGTTAGCAGATTCCTTGAAAATCCGGGAAAGAAACATTGGGAAGCAGTCAAGTGGATACTCAGGTACCTGAGAGGTATCACAAGAGATTGTTTGTGCTTTGGAGGATCTCATCCAATCTTGAAGGTCTATACAGATGTTGATATGGCAGGTGACATTGATAACAGAAAATCCACTACTGGATATTTGTTAACATTTTCAGGGGGAGCTATATCATGGCAATCTAAATTACAGAAGTGTGTTGCACTTTCAACAACTGAAGCAGAGTACATTGCCACTACAGAAGCTGGCAAGGAGATGGTATGGCTCAAGCGGTTTCTTCAAGAACTGGAATTGCATCAAAAGGAGTATGTCGTCTATTGTGACAGTCAAAGTGCAATAGACTTGAGCAAGAACTCCATGTACCATGCAAGAACAAAGCATATAGATGTGAGATATCATTGGATTTGTGAGCAGGTGGAGAACGAATCTTTACAGGTCAAAAAGATTCACACGAGTGAAAATCCTGCTGATATGTTGACCAAGGTGGTACCAAGAGACAAGTTCAAGCTATGCAAAGAACTTGTCGGCATGCACTCAAACTAGAAGACAGTGCTACGTCCTCTAGATGAATGAGACTGGAGGGGGAGATTGATGGGTTCCATCTCATTCAATAGCCAAAGTAAGAGGCATGTGCTTAAGGAAATTTTTTTTGGTTTGGTAGTTAACTTTGTTGAATTGTCAATATTGAAAAAAAAGAAGGAAAAGTGTGTGCAAATTGTCAAATATAGTAGGCTTTGGAGAGTGAGGCTTCGGCTATAAAAGGAGAGCTTCAACTCTCATTTCTACACACCAACAAAGAGAAAAAGAAAGAGTGAGGTTTCACAGACAAGGTATAAGAAAATAGTCTGTGAAAAAAATAGAGAGTAAGCGATATTGTAGTGAGGTGAGAATATCAAAAGAGGGTTATTTCTTTTGAGTGTTGTAGTGGTATTTGGAGTATTTTACTCGGACCTACAAAGTGTAAAATTTCTTGCTATAGTGATATCAGTTGCTCGTCTTGGGGCCGTGGTTTTTTCTCTTATTCAAAGGGTTTTCCATGTAAAGGTCTTGGTGTCGTTGTCACTCTTTTTCTTGCTAATTACTGTATCTCGGTGCTACGTGATTATTCCGCTTTTATTACTGTGAATATTATTTTTGTAGGGGGTTTATTCCCAACACCTATCCATTTTCCGGGCTCATTTGACCATTCACAATTTTGTTTTGTATATTTCCTATTTATGTTAGCTCTTATTGTAGCTATGCATCTGGTACTACCACCTAGGTAAGATTTTTCCTGTGATCCTTTCTTTTAACCTAATAGACATTATATAATACTCGATTTAGCATGTCTCTATGAATAGGTCTTGCCGGTTGTGACACGAAACACCTGTATTTCACTGATACATCACAGTTCTTGGGATATTTTATTTCTTTTGCTCCAGAAAAATTTATTTCTTCAACTATCTCAACTCGGGATAACAAACACTTCTACAACTGGTTTAGGCTCAAGAGTCAAGACCAAGGTATTCGACTGGACCATCCTTCCAGGTGAATACACAACGCCCATTACATGCATTTATGAAAACACCTAGTTATACCAAGAGCATTTCGAAGCACCAAACTACCCAGCAAAATGTTGCGTAAACAAAATCATATAGACTTCATGCCAGGACATTTGGCAATCGGGCGTTAAATATTAGAAGACCAGATTACTTATCATTGATGAAATCACGGGCAAAACAAAAAGTACCAAGCTTATAAGATTGGAACTACATAACCCAAGAATGTTACATAGATGACATGTTATAGTGGTTACTCACAACAGGAATTGCATGATCTAGGCTTTTCTCAGCCTTCATAACTTCAGCCTTGAGCCGTTCAATTTCAGTAGTGAGCTCAGTTTCCTGTTTCCACATGGACCTGAGACGAGCACAAATACGAAATTGCAGAGTTCAGATATTTCTAGATAAATAATGCTGCTCGAAAACACTCATATAAGCCTAACATGACTGAATAATCATACTTCCGCTCATCATGCAGCTTGTCTCTCTCCACTTTATACTGATTATACGCTTTTAGATAACCAGATATGAGGGATTCTTTTTTGTCTGCTTCAACTTTACGATGGTTGATTATATCATCTAGATCTCTCATGTCCTTATTGAGCTGATCAATTTCATCTTTAAGCTTTCTCTCCTGAGATAGAAAAAGGAGTTAAGACAATTAAGTTGGTAATAAGTATTAACCTTTTCCTCAGTTTTGTTGTTAACATGAAGCTTCTTATTTCAGACGAACACAAAAGATAAACGAATATTTGACAAGTAAAGAGAGAAAAAAGGAGCTTCCTACCAAGAAATGCATATGACAGGAATAATCCATAACAAAACGGACAAGATCAATAACCTCTGAGATGCACTTCCTTGGACTCTTTATGTCTTGGGCCGATGCCCATCTTTTATGTATCACTTTTACCTAAAAGAACTATTCATCTTTTTTTTTTTTGGCTGGGAACCATAAGAAAATGAAACCCTAACATTGTTCATCTTTACCTTGCACTCACATGCATCACCCACATTCTAAACTTGGTGCATTTGCATATACTTTATTGATCGTAAGTTTTTCTTCATACTATTTGCAAATGCATTTGTATCAAGGTTGCATATTCAGCGTATATTGATAAACAAAGCCTTCAAAGTGACAAAGACACTTTACATACAACATGTAGCACAGAGTCCTCAATCATTCATAATGAAAGGCTTGAAGAGTAAGAAAACGCCGCAATAGCTCCATGTGCTAACAAATGTTAACAACGAATATTACCTGCGTTGAGTTTGAAGATAAAACTTGTTCATATTCATCAATTTCCTTCTGGAGCCATTTGTCCCTAGCAGCTTTGTTGGCAAATTGGGTGGCGCGGCCTTGTTTCTGGTAAAGAATGCTAACTTTCATTTCACGATCCATAATCCTATTTAAGGCACCAAGGTTGTCAAATTACAGTAATAACCAGTGTAAGATAAAAAAGAAACCAGGAAGATAATACAAGACAGAATCACATACTATGAAACAACTTGACCAAATATTTTGCATCTTTGGTTCACATAAAGCTATATAAAATGAACATCAGCATCAAGGGATACAAATAGGATTATACTTATACAGAAAAACTAAGTATCAGAAGCAACAAACAAGAAATTAGCAAACCGGCATTGATTATTTTTCTTTTGTCCTTGATGAAATAGTTTAATGGACACCAAGACCCATAAAACATTTGTCTACCTTGAAACTTCATATGCTCGAGGACCAGAACTCTTGTTGGAGGAAAAATAAAAAGTTAATGTTTTATTCTAATTTCTGAAAAGTTTGGCTATCAGACTCTATCTTGTTCAAAAAAGTGCCTCATATAATCGATATACCCTCTAGTAATGTCCTCCTCCTCTTTTATTTGTTTCTCATGCAAAGGCCTGATATCATTGAGAGCATTCTTTGTTTCCTGAATTTCTCTCTCCAGAAGCATGAGTTGTTTTTGTGCATCATCCTGAATCACAGAAAGCATAAAATGACAATTTATCGTTATAGTTATTTGCCATTATAATCATGCAGTTGGGAAGAACAATTATTGTCATACAATAAAAGAGTACTTTAGCTTTAATATTTGTAGACATCTTCTCTTGAAGGTCTTTATAATCAAGATCAAGCTTGGCGCGCTTTCTGATAGCCTCTGTCCGCTGTTTCTGTACTGCTTCTTTTCCCTTGCTTAAATTTTGAATTTCTTTTGTCAGATCTTTGGACAACTTCTCTAACTCCTTGGACTTTTCGTGAGCCTTATACATCGTAGTAGAGTTCTCAGACACCTTCTTCCGAGCCTCTTCTACCTGCAAGTGATAGGTTAGAACTACAAGAGCAAACATTCACATTGATATTTCAACTCTACTATTTGAGTACTCTACCTCATTCAATTTCTGGCGTGCGTCGTGAAGTTCTTTGTCAAAAATCGTGTATTCCAGAGATTTGCGCTGCTTGTCAAGCTGTTGATATTTTTTAAGTTCGTCCTTCTCTTGTTCAAGCTCATTCAATTTCTCGTCCAAGTATTGTAAAACTTGAATTATTTGCTTTCTCTTGTTACCTGATTCACATAAATGTTAGCAACAAAAACATTAATATCCAAGAAGTATAAATTTCAAAAATAACGTGCCAGTTTCCTGCATGAGTTTTAAACTTTCTCGACGCCTCTCCTCATAAACATGCGCCCCTCCAATTTCCTTCAACAGATCAAGCCGTTCTGAATCTTTCATTAACGTCAATGACGCTATCTGCAAGAAAACATGAGGAGAATATAAGACATGAATAAGAAGTAGAAAAACAATATTAATGTAACATACCTTTCCCTGCTGCACAACATAATAGGGATTGGACCGAGAGAACCCAGCACTTTCCAGCAAATTCTGGACCTCTTTCTTCCTGCAACATAATGAAAGATTCTATCACGCAGCTGACAGCAGAGGCAATGAACAACACTCATAAGATACTTACGTGATATGTTTACCGTCCAAGAAATACTCATCCTTCTTGAGACCGATTGTTCTTCTCTGCCGCACTTCCTCCTTATCAACCTGTCAAAATGTAATACAATTTCAACATCCACAAAGCAGTAAATATCTATTCCACTGTTGCCAACAGAAGCCATCACATCTTAAGTTCACAGGCTATTCCAGTAAACAATTGGTTTTACATACTTTAGCCAAAGGAATGAAACACTCAGTGGCGGAGCCACCTTAGGCTAAGGGGTGTCAACTGACAACCCTTCACCGGAAAATTACATTGAATAGCTAAGTCAAAAATTTATTTTATGTATATATACTGTATATTGACTGCCCTTAGCTTCTTTATATGTTTACTTCTTTATATTTTGACACCCCTTAGTAAAATTCCTGACTCCGTCACTAGAAACACTGAATGGCCAAAATTATACTCCATATATAAGCCAACGAAGGCAAATATAGCAAGGTCAGTACTGCTTGTACAGAAAAAATGGCATAAAGGTGCAGGTAGACAACACTTTACCGGCATTCGATTGTCTGAATTATCAAATACAATTTCCACAAAAGCAGATAATACTTGGTGACCTGCTCCCTCCTATATGGCAAAAGGGGAGACATTAGAAACATTGTAAACGTATTAAAGGACATGAACTACTGCAGATTTCTAAAGATTAAATACTGAACATACATGAAGAAAAGCCTGCCTTTCTTCATTGTGCAGGTTCTGAAAGAGGTCACTTACGACAAAACGAATTGCTGCAGAACAGAAAAAAAAATAAAAAAAATTAAAGAAACATGGACTCATCAAAATATCAATAAGCCAGAAAAACATCAGGGTAGCCCACCATGGAAAAAGTTCGACTTGCCAGATCCATTCGCGCCAACTGCACACAGAAGAAAATTTAAAACATCTCTCAGTTCAAACAAAAATGTGGCAGACTAAACTTCACCAAGGGTATAAATGACATTACCAACACAGTTAACTTTCGGACTGAAATCTTCAGTGGCTACTTGTTCCCGATAGCTCTTAAACCCTTCGATGATGACCTACAAGGGAAGAAGTTTAGATACCCCATATGAAAAATCACTAAGAAAACACTCTTGCAAATTCCGCATCCAAACCAACATGAAAATTCATAGACGCAATTAATTGTTGACACATACTTAGGGCCATAGATTTCTAATTACCTGTTTTATATACATGTTGACAGTCCCTCACTATTCTATCTCTGCAGAAACAACCACAACCAAACAAAAAATTAAATAAACAAAATTCAACAACTACCAAATCAAATAATATTACTCCTATGAGAGTTTCAGAAAAATTACAAGAAGTCCTGCTCCTATGGAAGGCCCGATGCTAGTTTCTACTCTATTAGAACGAGACAGAGAAACCTCATCACTAACTGTGTATGGGAAAACAAGTCTTCAAAAATATGCGCACAACTGTTCGATGAAATGCCAACTGATGAGGAGGACAGTAGCAATAGCAAGGAGAATTGTGTACAGTTGATTGAGCAAGCAACTGATTCAGAATTTATTGCTTCTGTTGCCACTAATTTCAGTAATGTTGCACCCTTGCCGGACGAGACGAGATTAACAAAGGTTGAACAGAATTCTACTGTTGTTGGGTCGTCAGTTGGTATTCCAAAGCTTGTGGAAGAGGAATATATCTGAAGTAGCCGCGCCATTGAAGGAAAGAATGTTTCCATCTTGTGAGCCGAATATATGGATGAGACAGAATTTCACAGAAGAGGGAGCGATTGGCTGAAGCCAAGCCATTGAAGGAGAGAAAGCCTTGTTAGTTTCCCAAATTAAGAAGGTGAATTCCGAACCCTTAAGACTTTTCTCGATTTCAGGCACGGGAAAATTCTATGAAGAAGGCTCACAAATGCTTGAGGAAATGCTAAAGTGAGATAGGAGTTTTGGAGTTTCATTAATTAGTGAGTATTCACAAAATGATGGAGCAGAGGATACTTGTCATGAGAATGTTCTTGCTTTTTATCATTCAGAAACAGTGGTAAAACTGAATGAATCACTTAACATGATTGCAAGAATTAACGAAGAAAACATTGAGATTGAAGCATATCAGAATGTAGAAATGTGTTCCAATGATGAGAAGGGTGTTGGAGAATTTAAGGAGGTGAAAATTGATAATTGCAGCAGCCTGAAGGTTGAGAAATTGGTGTCACTAACTAAGAATGGTGCTCTGTTTGAAAATGACAGAGTTTACAAAGAGGAAGAAAGGAATGATACTGAGTTTGTGAGAAGAACTTCACCTCCTTGGAAAGTTGAATCAGTTGTGAAGCCTACAATTGCAAGTCCTCCTTAGATTACCTTGTTGCGCAATTTTCAACCTCACAAATACGAATAGCAGCCACTCTTCCATATGATCCTGGTGGATTTAGATGCCTCATTTCCGCATTCTCTTTGGCAAATGTAAACAACAACAACAACAACAAGAAGCCCAGTGAATTCCTATAAGTGGGCCCGGGGAATTCCCGTAAGTGGGTCTGGGGAGGAGGGTAGGATGTACGCAGCCTTATCCCTATCCTCGAAGGGCAGAGAGGCTGTTTTCGATAGACCCTCGGCTAAAGACTTATTTGGCAAATAAGCTTAGTGTAAACAAGAATAATCTTGTGGTAATTGGTGCATAAGAATGGATTGTTGGTCAAGCTACTTGTAAAAGTAGCTGTACCAAATGTTGTTTCCTAGAACCTGATGACCTTTGGCTGTATTAAGACCAAATGGCCCGGAAATAAGTGGAGGATTGCTACTGCAAGCAATATCATAATAAACATGCTTGCCGAAGGTGGAAAAATGGAGCATTCATTGGGGCAGTTCAAGAACATAAATGCTAGAGATATTTTAACATGGAATATCCTTATTGCTTCAGGTAGTCAATTTGAGGTATGTTCACAATGTTCAATAGAATGAGAACTAGAGGGAATTATGGCAGATGTTGCCTACATTTTAGATTTGTAGCTTGCAGCAATAAGACGGGGGAAAGAGTTCAATGGGATGCATTATCAGGTTCAATTTTAGTCAAGTGTCCCTGTTAAAAATGGAGTGATTGGAATGATCTTCGAAACTGAGAGTTTAAGTAATGCTATCCTGGTCTTTGAGCACACGAATATTAAATACATGGCATGGACAATAATATCTGCTTACGGAATGTATGACAAAGGAGGGACAACGCTCAGATCTTTCCAACTGACGGAGACTGGTAAAAATTCTAAAACTGCACCGCATAGTAGGTCTGAACCTATAATTTTAAGAATACAATAAGCTCAATGCTAAGAAACTTAAAGGCTGAATCCATAATTTTAAGAATACAATAAGCTCAATGCTAAGAAACTTAAAGGCTGAATCCATAATTTTAAGAATACAATAAGCTCAATGCTAAGAAACTTAAAGGCTGAATCCATTGAACTTATATCCTAAATCCGCATCTCCTTGCAATGTTAACTTCTTCTTTTTTATCACATTTTGAATAAGAGGACATTATCATTTCTATGCCGTTACAGTATGCAAGTATATGGGAATCAATGCATTTTATTAATCTGTACATAGAAAGAAGTATCATCTTTCAAACTTCACTTTTGAGTGCAATAAAGATGGAAAATAGATATTACATATAGCATATGCTACGAGGAGTAAGGAAGCAAATTAAACAGGGAATTGAAAGTGAGAAGAAAAATACTACTGCACAAGACATACCGAGAACAAGCGAGTGAGCAAGTCGGAGCTCCTGAGACTATATGGGGGTGGGGGAGTTTAAAAGTAGGGTAAAAATTTATTATAGACTTACCAGTGTTTTAAAAGAAGCGAACGTGAGGCGAGGCATTTTATCAAATAAACATGCTAAGCAATTGATAATAGACGCACTTTGCTTTGAAACTGAATGCAAAAATGGTAGGGATTTTTACATTCCAGTGATTTTATAAGGTCAATTAACATTGATTACCAATGATTTTATTTTTACATTTGGTACTAAAAATGGATTTACATACTATACCAAAAAAGATCCACATTCCATGCGGTACTTAACTTGTTTACAATAAAATAAAATCCCTAAATTAAAGCATTTCACTAAAAGAGATCCTTATCAAAAGTTATCGTTTCTATACTCCGTGTCCTCATCTCCATATTATGTTTGTCTAATATAATTCTCTTTGTTTTGGTTGTATTCTCTAGATAATATTTGCTAAGAAGTGATAGTTTATATATACATAATGTGTTGAAAGTGAAGATATAAATCATATAATAAATTACTGTTTGATATTTTCCATAGTAATTGTATATACCTAATACAAAACTAGTATATATATACACACACCTGTTTTAGTGGGATAAAAGGGGAACAGGATCCCACTTTTAAAAGGAATAAATTTAAGATTCTACCCAATTGTACTAGTAGTAAATAATGTTAAAAAGTGGTAAAAAAAAAAAAAAAAAAACCTATAAAATTGGTACCGCCTGTGTTGAAAAAAATACAAAATATATAGTTTACCCATCGACACTGTTACAAACCTTTCGTTCACGAAAAACCTTTTACACACTCAATCTTTTAAAAGTATGCGTAAGACACACCACTTTTTGGTTTGACCAATTTTTCAGATAACGTGAAAGTCACGCTCTAATAGGATCGTGACACGTGTCATTGACTTTAAAAAGGAAAAAATATATTAGAAATTACAATTAATACCCATCTTCTTCATCTTCTCATTTTCTATCTTAAACATCATTGTTGCTACCACCATGGTTGTTTGTGAGAAAGTTTTAAACAACACCAAAATTCAACTATACTATCTAAACAACTAGCCGAAAATAATCGAGCAACAAATTGAGTTCAATAACCCAATAATCAACAAGACCCAGTTAAATTTTCAAGCTTTTTTCATACCCCAACAATGATGGATTCTAGATTTTTTCACCAAACCTTCAATACTACTGTTAAACCTTTTAAATATATCACAAATAAATAATTTTCACAATATTTTGACAATAAACCAACAAAAACTGCTCAATTTTAGATCTAAAATTTTATGTTCTTTCAAAAATTCTATTTTGGGGAAGAAGATGAGGGAGAAGGTGGTATGAGGAAGAAGATGAGAGGGAGGGGGAGGGAGAGGGGTTCTTGTGGAGAGGGGAGACAAAAAAAATGGGATTTCTTTACGGGCTTCACGAGCTTTTTCGTGTGTAAATACGCAAGTGCTATCTGGTCAAAAGTAGTGTGTCCTAGACATACTTTTGAAAGGTTAAGTGTATAAAAGGTTTTTCGTAAAGTAGAAGCGTGTAACGGTGTTTTTACTATAAGGTTGATGGGTAAATTATGTATTTTGACAAAAAATAAATACTTTAAAACTTGTCTACTAAGGTAAATTTCCCAAAAAGCTACTTTTCGCTAATCCAAACGCCAAATGGGCTCTCGTTTTCTTTTATTTTATGTGTTTTAGAAGGTGGGAATGGATGTAGGGAAACTACTATGTACATTTATAAATAGTTTATTATAAAAATTGGTAAATTCATAAAATATTATCAATATTAGCCAACTATTATCAATATTAGCCAATTAGGTATTTGTAGCAAAAAAAGGTCAATATTTGGCTTTTTTTTGAATGGGTGTTATTAGAATTGATAGGGTACATCTCAAGGAGCTTGAATCTCAGTTTTGAGATGATTTGATGGAGTTTTGAGGTGAATTGAATTGAAAATTCGAAATAGAAGATGAACATGAAAAAATAATAATATGTGTATCACACTGTATATCACATATGTATCACATGTATACACGTGTGTGAGATACATGCGTGATACAAGTTTGATACATGTGTCGCAGAAGAATTTTTTGAACTCGATTTTAATTACGAATTTTGATACTAAATTAGTCCAAATCACCTCCAATCTTCCTCAAATTTTGTATATTGACTCATCTATATGTTTTTAATGAATTTCAACCATACCCATTGAAAACAGTCCTTTTTTGCTTAGATTTTTGGAATCTTATTTATATATATATATATATATATATGTATATATGTATGTATTTTATCACCTTATTTGTTATCTCATCTATGAAATTTCCTTTCTGTCTTGCACCTAATGTTGCTAATCACGCTTAAAAATATGGACGGAGATATTTGTATGTGATTCTTGGAGAGACAGAACCTTATTTATTTGAGTTTTTAATTTTCATATATGTTTGGCTAGTTTTAGTAAATCTATGATTAATGGCTAGATGTTGGCAAGTTGAGACTTATTTGAGACATTTATTTAAGATTTTCATAGGTGTACTCTCCGTAACTGTTACTGCCATATTTTACAACTAGTTAGGATTAGCCCGGGCCAATTGCTAAGCTCAGGTCTAATTATTGTAAAAACAATTCTCTCTAAAATTGCTTCGAACAATTATAATTAAAGCTCTATTGTAGTGAACCGCGAGATAGTCGATCAAATGACAAAACAATCGAAGGCCTCTCATAATTTTGAGCTTTTGACTTTCCTTATCCCACATGCACTATATGTAAGAATAAAATGGTGATACACAAAATTTAGGGATGGAAACGGGGCGGGGCAAGGTGGGTTTGGCAAAACCCACAAAAATTTCAACCCGCCCCGCATAATTATTTTTTCAGTTTTCAATCCGCTCCGCTCCGCTTGGACCCGGCCCCGGCCCGCTCCACTTAAGTTTTTTTTCTTCTTTTTTCTTTTATTTTTTTCTAAAACAAACTAGTTTGATATTTTACTATTTTATAAAATGGAGAGTTTAATATTATTCAAGAAATTATATTTTTCTCTTTGTCGTAGTGTGAAACTATATGCTCATACCAATTAATCTCACTAGTAGTAACATAATTTTTCAAATGTATAAAGTAACCACACACTGCCCATGAAATAAGAGAGACAAGATTCTTTCACCTAATCAGTTAGTTGTTATATGCATAATACATTCCTTTTCAATTTTGCGTTCATCCTTAATTAGGAATATTTAATTACTACCCGCAAAATAGAGCTAAAATAAAACAAATCTTAAAAGCTTTATAACCATTCTTTTTAACAGTTCATACTGTATTTCATTGCCATGTTTTTCGATATGAACACTCTAAAATAGTAACCATTATCGTTTTTAAATATGAAAAGATTGAAAATAAAACAATTACAAGATAAAGAAACAAGAATGCTTACTAGGAAAAGACCGAATGTTAAATTGCTACTAAAAAAGAATGTAAAATCGTAGGTGAAGTGATTTCTTTATTTCAAAATAAAAAAATTCATAGCTGCCCCGCATTGAACCCGCGTTAAACCCGCCCCACCTCGCTTTAAAATTTTTAAAAACTGTTTTAACCCACCCTGCCCCGCATAAGAGTTGTCACGACCCGTAATTTTCACTTTTGGGACCGTGATGGCGCCTAACATTTCACTTGCTAGACAAGTCAACGTTAGAATAATATAATCCATTTTAAAATAATTTTTAAATTTATTAATATCAAAGAAACAAATGCGGAAGTAAAGTCTAAAATGTAGTAAATAATCCATAAAAATAACGGAATCTAAATACCATCCCAGAATTGGTGTCACAAGTGTACGAGTTTTTAGAATAATACAAATAACGGTCTGAATAAAATAAAGTTGTCTGGAACAAACACACAGCTAAAGTAAAGTAAACGGTGACTTCATAACTGCGGACGCCGTGCAGTTATATCTCAAGTCTCCTCTGGTAGCTGAAATCCGAGCAAGTCTATGGTACGCCGCTGGGACCAACTCCAAAATTTACACAAGAAGTGCAGAATGTAGTATCAGTACAACCGACCCCATGTATTGGTAAGTGCTGAGCCTAACCTCGATGAAGTAGTGACGAGGCTAAGGCAGGTCACTCACATTAACCTGTACGCAATAGTAGTAACAACAACAGTAATAGAAATAAATCACGTAACTCATTTTTAATAGTTGAAGCCAACTCAACAGCCATAGCCAATTATTATTTCAATCAATTTCCGTTGCAGCGTGCAACCAGCTCACACAACATATTCATTTTCAATCCTCTCACATATTTATTTATAATCAAGTGTATATATATAGACTTTTAAATAAGTCTGTTGAGGCGTGCAATCCGATCCTCCAATATGGGCTTTTAATAAGTCTGTTGCAGCGTGCAATCCGATCCCCCAATATGGACTTTTAATAAGTCTGTTACGGCGTGCAATCCGATCCCCNAAGGCACACAATAATTATAATTTATTTATGAACAAACAATGGCAATTAGCAATTAATTATAAAATCGTGGAGAAAATAGGCAGTTAATATTTAGTATGCTAAATATCAAATAATAATTA